TGGCCTTTCTTTGAGGTGGAAGAGCTCGCTGGGCTGAAGGGAGCGGCGCGTCAGAGGCGCGCAGCGTAGGGAGGTCGGGGAGGAACGGAAGAGGCCCCAGGAAATTAGCCTCCCCACGTGGGGTTGGGCTGCCCTCTCGGGCAGGGGAGGCTTTGTAAAATAATTCGCTTTACCTTCGAAAGCAAAGGGAAGACGGGAGCGCCTGAAGCCAAGTGTCTCCTCAGGGCTCCGGTTGCAGGGAGGAGCCCTGACTGGCCGCACGTGGCTGCGCCAAACGCCGCAGCAGCAAGGGAGAAGGGGCAGCAAGGGAGAAGGGAGAAGCAACGGTGGAAGGTCTCCCGATATGAAGTGCCCCACCAACGCAGGCAGCACCATATCCGGGCATGCAACAAAAGTACTTACTAACGGCAAGCCCCCCCCCCGCTCCCCCCCATTTCGCATGTTTAATATGGGGCTTAATTTGGGGGGAGGGGCTTAATTTGATTTTATGCCAATAAAACATGGTGGGGCTTCCTATTGGTGGAGGCCGTATTGTTGGAGAAACACGGTAGTACTTGGCTTAGTAACTACAAGAGGGATCTTGGAGTCCCAGTGGACAACCACTTAAATATGAGCCAGCAGTGTGCTGCAGCTGCCAAAAAAGCCAACACAATTCTAGGCTGCTTTATAATGCTTTGGTAAGACCACACTTAGAATGATGTATCCAGTTTGTTTGCCATGATATAAAAAAGATACTGAGACTCTAGAAAGAGGGCAGAGAAGAGCAACAAAGATGATTAGCAGTCTGGAAGCTAAAACATATGAAGAAAAGTTGCAGGAATTGGGTATATCTAGTAAAATGAAAGAAGGGTTAGGGGGTGACATGATAGCAGTGTTCTAATATCTAAGTGGCTGCCACAAAGAAGTGGGGGTAAACCTATTCTCAAAAGCACCTGAAGGGTTAGGGTTAGGGAAAGTAATCAAGGAAAGAAGCAACCTAGAACTAAGAAATGTCCTGACAGTTAAAACAATTAATCAGCGGAACAACTCGCCTCCAGAAGTTGTGTGTGATTGAACACTGGAGATTTTTAAGAAGAGACCAGACAGCCATTTGTCTGAAATGAAAATAGGGTTTCTTGCTTAGCAGGGGATTGGACTAGATGACCTCTAAGGTCCCTTTCTACTATTATTCTATTATTCTTTGCCTTCAGGCAGAGTAGAAATATTAGAGAGAAAGAAACTTCAAGAGAGTTAACCATGTGGTTTCCTACTTACTGACCATTTTGTCTCAGTTAAGGTCATTAAGTGAGAACTACCTGAATGCTACATTTTTTTAAATGCATCACAAAAATACACACCCTTGATGTAAGGCAGAAGTTTCTCACAAATTGGCAAATTCTGCTTGGTAACGTGGAAACTGCATGTGATCTTTCCAGGAAATGCATTTGTCAAACCAAGAATCTGTTTCTGGAATGTGCAAGATATTTAGTCATACCACAGTCAAATAAATCAAAGCAGATGTGTTGTTTGTATAGTCCAGATTCTATAAATTTGAAGAACAGTATACAAATATTGTATTTTGAGCACCCATCATAAGAAAAAAGTAGCATAACTAATTCCCTCTTTTATATATGACTTCAAATTCAGGCAACAATTCCTTATAATGGAGCTGAGTTGTACAAATAAACTCTCAAGCAATAGTCAGCTACTTTCTAATCTAGCCCCGTGAAGGTTAGATCTCCTCCTTACCTAGAATATACTTTCAATTGTAGGTTCAGCAAAAGAAATACAAAGTAAAGAAAGAACATGTGGAAGCAGCATACTCCTTTTAAAGTTTACTAGAAAACAACTGTGTTTTAAAATCCCTATATGCTGTTTCCAAAAATCACTAAATGATTGTCAGAACAACAGCACTTCCAGCTGACAGTATCTTGATTGGGCTGGACATCAGAGGCCTGCTGCAAATGTAGTTGGCTTGATTTGAAAATGAAAAGATTATACTACTGTTGCTCAATTCAAGTCAAGCAATAGAAAATACAACACATGCTATTGACATTTTTCCTCTTACCTAATATTGCATAATGCGCAGTTTTACCAAGTTGCTTCAACAACTGAAGCAAATCTGGTATACAGTAGGAACAATACAATGAGCAACTTGATGTCCCAGACATTATCTAGGCCTGAACTCCTATTTTGTAATTCCCAATGCTCCCTCTGATAACACAACAGTCATTGTGAAGCAGGAAAGACAAGAAATATATAAAACCAAGAGTGTTAATCAGGGTTCTCAAAATATGTTGGGATCTCTTGAGGAAGCAAAGTTACATTTTTTAAAAATGCAATCAAACTTGTGAAGATCAAGTAAAAAAAACCTCATTCTGGGCTTTGCTCTTCATTTTACCTGAAGCAGCTGAAGTACCACATAGTTTAACAACATATTAAAATAAATGATTATAATTGTTTCTTTCCTAATATGATTATTAATTTTATTTTGGGGGAGCACAAAGTTTGCAAACTATAAACGTAAGCCCTAAATTAACTTTAAAAACACCTCCTGCTCACCAAAATAGAAAATTCTGTTCCTGCCTATGTGTATGACACAGCCCCACTACTTTCCATCAACCTCCTACCCACAGTAGCTCCTGTCTTCTCAAATTAAAAAAAAAATTAAGGATGTTTTGTAGCCATTAAAGCAAATTATGCAATCTTATATAATAAACCTACCCTGAACAGAAGTTCATGTGCATTTTTTGCACAATAAAAGAGTTTGGTTGTTCCCACTTTGCAACCACTTCCTTTCTTCTCTTCAGTTCTGTGAAGGTCTGCAATGTGGAGCAGTATAGAAAATAAAGGATTAATGCCTACTCCACCTGCTATGAGCATAACGTTTGCTGGAATGTCTTCAGGCTGAGGATCATAAAAGAAGTTGCCTCCAACTCGTAAAGCCACTTCTGAATTAAGAGCACACTATAGAGAAGAACAGAAAAGGCAAAAAACAACAATACCAAAGATGGACTTCAAAGAAAATCGACAGGGAAATTATTTTAATTGAAAAACATGTTAGTGGTGTTACATAGTTTACTGCAAAATAAGTTAAGTTAGTGCAATCTATACATTCTTCAATTGTAAGAATGTTACAATTGGTTTTGAATAATAACAACATATGGTTTCATTCTTTGTTGAGTCTATGAGATAAGTTTAAAGCAAACCAATTTATCTCATAAAATGTCTTCTCAGAAGAACATGGGAATTTAAGTTAGAATTCTAAGGTCCTGGGGACTGAGGACATTTTTAAAAAGACGTGTTTAAAAGAATTTTGCCTGAGGCTTGTTAAGTGGAAATACAGTTATAATAGGTGCTTTTTTTTAAATACAGAGTGATATGTCAAAAAACACAAAAACAAAACTTGTACTTAGTTTAGTGTTTATCTTACGACAATATACACAGTTTTCGGCAATTATTATGGCTACACAGTGTCCAATACAGTTACTAATCACAAAGACATAGTTTTTTCAGACAAATCACAATTATGAAGAAAATAATTGAAAACAATATTAAACTGAAATAGGTAATAAGACATAATCCAGTTTTACCCAATCAGGCAGTGTTAATAAAGAATTTCATTCAAACCCATTTGAGCGGACTCCAGACTAAAGAAGAATCCAATGTAATGTAATTTCTTCTCCATTTCTCAATAGTTCACGTGTCTCAATAGGACACATGCTGGACTCAAGAAGGGGAGCGAACTGCCTACCTTGATTCTGTCAATGAAAGAAATTCTGTACTAAATGATGAATGTTGGATGCCTCACATTCTTTTTATAAAATGGTGTGTGTGTGTGTGTGTGTGTAAAACCCATATATATATATACACATATATTGTATGCATGTAGATATATGTAGATATATTTATATGTGTATAAACACATACGCACACAGAGTATATATTTTCTCCACCAAAAGACAAATAGTGACTAAATAAAAATCACAAATGTACTGCATAGGAGAACAAATGATTTTATTATTGAAGGATAATTTAAAAGTAATCAGACCATTAGAAATTTGAAATAAAAACTTCAGTGGTTTGACTAAAGCCCAGTGAGGCCTCTTAAAGCACTTCCTCTGATTCAAATTCCAATTCCATTATGGTGTCTTCCCCTCTATCATAAATCTAATTGTTCTAACAATTGCCTTTTTTGGGTGAGTGTCAGCATTGAAATTGCAGGCTGAAAAAAAGGAATAAGCTGGACCTAAATACACTCTGTTCATGATAGTTAGAATCCAGAATATATTTTTCCACAAGCTGCAGAATCATGTCTATGTGCTCATCAAAAATATAATAGTTATAAAACAAATGTTATATAGTAAAAATAGTTTATCACCACTGTTTCCCACCAAATCAAATATATTCCTATATCTATCTATCCCTGTATTTCTGATCATCTTAAGAAAAAAGCTGCACTATATTATAGAATTAATGTTAACTTCTTAACAGTTTCAAATCCAAACCAATTGTAGCACTATACTATCATTACAGTTTCAGATATCTTTTTTAAAATTAAATTATCAAAAACAATCAAAAACAAAAAACAATAAAAACATAATAAACTGCTTCAGTACAGGTAGTCCCAAGATCATATGATCAACTTTTGCGAACTTCTGACAAGCAAAGTCAATGGGGAAGCCAGATTTATTTAACAATTGGATACTAACTTATCAACTCCAGTGTTTCACAACTGAGGTAAGAAAGGTCGTAAAATGGTGCAAAACTCATTTAACAAATGTCTCACTTAACAACATAAATTTTGGGCTCAATTATGGTTGTAAGTTGTGGACTACCTGTAACTGATAAGAAATCCATAACTTCCTTTTATCTTATATCTTATTTACTAACTTACATAATTTTAGAAAAAGATAGGTTCATAGGTTATGAAAATGGCTTATATTTCTCTCCTCATTTCTAAATATCTACTCTACTTCTGTTAAAAGGAATAGGTTTGTAATTTCTCTACGAGAGCACCCAGACACTTGACATAAAAAAACCTTAATGATAACTAGCAGTTCTAGCATTAGCTAATGTTTTTAACTGCTTTAATTACTGTGATACTATGAGTTTAATTTAAAATATTAAGACAGGAAGAAAAGTCCCAGGAAATGTCTCTGAGGCAGATAATTATGAGATTAGATTTTTGAGTTCCCTAATGAACAGCAGAGATATGATAGAAAATCTCCACCAGGATTTGTCTAAGAATATGTGGTCGAGCCACACTGGTTCTATACATTTTCAGAATACCTTTCAAAGTCAATTATTGGTTCTATACATTTTCAGAATACCTTTCAAAGTCAATTATTTTATTGAAATTTCAATGGTGCATGACAGTAACCTATTTAAGAACAGTAGGGCTACTTTTTATGGGCATGGATTAGAAGCAACCTGGGAAGGGAAGAGATCAGATGACAGGAAAAGAATTGTTCAAATGATAAGATTGCATTGATTTTATACTGTCCTACTAGTCAACAAAAACAGAAGAAAAGCATATTGTTTATAATACAGCATATATAAAGGTCCCCTTCACTCACTTACCTTTTACAGAATTATCCTTTATAAACTATAGTTTGGTAGACAATCCATGAGCATTCTGGACTAGTTTTTTTAGAGGAAAAAGGTAAGCTTGTAGCACCTAAAAAGTGAACCTATTTTTTTCATGTAAACTTTCATGGGTCACAGGCCAAGTCTTTAAATATATCTGATAAAGAGGATGTTATATATACTGTAGAAGTTTATGTGATAACAATTGTATTATTATTTCAGATATAACAAGATTCTTTTCTATTTAAGCATTGGTCAATAAGCCCACTTTCTGACATCTTTGTGTTCTAGCAACATCACAAAAATTAAGCCTAGATTCAAAGATCTTCCTTATTCTGGTGCCACCTCATATTTGTTCATTTTTAGAATGGAAATGAGACTAATTTTGTATTGGTTAATTTCTGCCATTTTACTGTGCTTTTTCAAATATCCCACCTGCTACTACACTTACATAATTCAGTAAGAGAAGACTTGTATAGGAGGACCATGTATTGGTAGAGATTTTGTATGTGTGAGAGAAAAACAGGTCAACACAAAATGATATACATTAGTTAGAACACAGATTGTGCTAGCTGTTGATAAAATGTTCCCTTTATACAGATTTGAAGTTTTATGAAAAGCATTGTACAAAACAGTTTTTTGTTTTTTGTATGCAGACCATTTCAAATTTAAGTGCAATGATAGGTATGGCATTTAACAAATTTGGCACAAATAATCTAATACATATTATACTATACTCCATCATTAAATTCATGTCTTATAGCACACATAAAAGGGTAGGAGGATTCAAAGTAATAATAATACTGAATTACATATAAAGCTACAATATAGCTCCTAGTAATAAAGATGTAAATATTATTTAAAAGAACACTAAAACCAACATTATTAGGAGCTTTTAGTTACAGATACCTGAGTATGAATCCAGTGGGCGGGTGGGTGTGTTGTATGTTTTACTGCAAGTTCTAATATTCCCTCTTCTTCCAACATACCAGGACTTGAACATATTGAGAATCCACCAACTACAGGAACTCCAGGTATAAAGAAGTCTACCCTGAAAGAAAATATATTTCCATTTAATTTCTTCTATGCAATGTCCTGGAAAAGGTTTCTTTTTTACTATTCAAAACTTCTGACAAGATTATTCAGATGTGTACAGTTTAATAATATATTAAGCATAAAGATATTTATTAGAACCTTGCTATATAAAGTTAATTACATACTGTGTTTCTCCAAAAATACGACCTCCCCCAATAGGAAGACCCAGCATGTTTTTTAGGCATAAAATGAAATTAAGCCCCTCCCCCCAAATTTAGGGGGGAAGGGCGGGGGGACTCGCCGTTAGGAGCGCCCCACGGGCAGCAATTCCTCGCAAGCAGCTGCTCCTAATGGGCGATCATGGCAGAGCGCGGAGAGCTCCCTACTCCTGCCAAGCACCTTTGCGGCAGACCCAAGATCTTCAGGCCCGCCGCTGTTGATTTCCATTCTGCCCATGCCGCCGCCTTGTTTGGAGCTGCCACTTCCACGTTTGGAGCACCACTGCTGTTTGGAGCACCGCTGCCGTTTGGAGCTGCCGCTTCTGCATTTGGAGCTGCCGCTACGTTTGGAGCTGCCACTTCCACGTTTGGAGCGCTGCCGCTGTTTGGAGCACTGCTGCTGTTTGGAGCTGCCGCTTCCGCATTTGGAACCCCACCGCTGTTTGGAGCATTGCCGCTGTTTGGAGTTGCCATGTCTGCATTTGGAGCTGCCGCTTCCGCGTTTGGAGCACTGCCGCTGTTTGGAGCACCACCATTTGGAGCGCCGCCGCCACTCCAAACACAGCGGCAGCTCCAAACGCGGAAGTGGCAGCTCCAAACATGACGGCGGTGCTCCAAATGGCGGCGGCACTCCAAATGGCAGCGGCACTCCAAACGCGGAAGTGGCAGCTCCAAACATGACGGCGGTGCTCCAAATGGCAGCGGCACTCCAAATGGCAGCGGCACTCCAAACACGGAAGCGGCAGCTCCAAACATGGCGGCGGTGCTCCAAATGGCGGCGGCACTCCAAATGGCAGCGGCACTCCAAACATGGAAGCGGCAGCTCCAAACGTGGCGGCGGTGCTCCAAATGGCGGCAGCACTCCAAATGGCAGCGGCACTCCAAACACGGAAGCGGCAGCTCCAAATGTGGCAGCAGAATGGGCAGAAGGGAAAGCAACAGCGGCGGGTGCCAAAGGTCTTGGGTCTGCAGCAAAGGTGTTTGGTGGGAGTAGGGAGCTCTCTGCGCTTCGCCATGATCACCCGTTAGGAGCGGCTGGTGGCAAGGCTGCCCGTGGGGCGCTCTAGATGAGGATGCAAGGGGGGGAATTAAGTCACCCCAGAAAAGACGGCCTAGCCGTTTTTTCGGGGCTCAAAAAAATATAAGACCCGGCCTTATTTTATGAGAAACACGGTAGAATGCTACATTACTATTTGTATAGGCAAAGTTCAAGGAAAATCACATAGAAAATATTTAGCTGGTAAAGCAACAATGGGTAAATACCATTAAAGACCAACAGAACAGATCAAATGTTAATATTATTTTCAGATTTACAAATATGAATCATAGTAGTGTAAGTTCTTGCCTAAGTCCTGTGTATTCATTCAATTAATTCTCAATTTACAACCACAACTGAGCCCAGAATCTTGGCTGTTAAATGAAGTGGTTTCTTAAATGAGTTGTCACAAGACTTTCCATGTAACTGATTTGTCAAAGGCCACAACCCAAGCACTCCTGATTGCAGTTTTTAAACTAATGCATGGATTGTTAAATGGATGGAGTCCAAGGTAAAGAATGTGGGTGAGGGAGATTCTGAGGAGGTCCGCTTTGTTGTTGTTAGTTGTGAATTGTGTCCAGCCCATCGCAGTCCACTTAGAGAAGATGAAAATCTTTCCTGCTGAAATCCAAGTGCTGCTGAGAGAGAAAAGGAGTTCCCCCCCTCAGCTGTCTAAGGCACCCCATAATCCTTACCTTATCAGGCCGTCTCTCCATTCTGATTGAAAAGAGCTACCTGCAAAAGGATATCAGCTCTATTTTGGCAGGGAGCAAAAACAGGTCAAATCATCAGAATCTAAACTCTGTTTCTCTACCCTGCCAAAGAGTTAAGCTCCACTCAACATGCATAAGGAAACATGTAAGTAGGGCGCAGAAATGAAGGCTCTGAGTTCTGTTTTAGCACCCCATGGAGTATATCAGCATTGTGCATGGAAAAGAATTCCTTCAGCCTGGTACAGAAACAAAGCTCAAATAATTAGGACCTTAATTCTGTTTTTCCCACTGCACTGGAGGAGTTCAGCTCCTCTCAGCAGGCAACCGTTTCAGCCAGCCCTTGGACATGAGAATGAGTTTTCTTGGCAGGCTGTGGCAGCTTGTAACCTTCCTTACTACTTTCTCCATTGACATTCTGGGGAGATCAGTAGAGAAGATTGCAAGTTAGAAATCATATGATTGTGGAGTGCTTGGCAACCAGTCCTAAGTGTGAACAGATTACCAAGTATCTAGATCACAATCAAATGATTATTGGGAGTGGGGGGGGGCAGCATGACATTTAACCATGGCTGGAAGTTTCTATAGAGCATAAAGCATTCTTTCAAAACCATTGTAATTTCAATTATGTGCGATCACAAGACAAGAATTGTCTGTAGTCAGGTTTGGATGCTGAGAGGCAACTATTAAACTTCTTCCTACTAAAATTACTGTTGGGGGAATAAGAATGGTAACTCACTAACTCATCTAAAATTTCCCATAACAGAAAACTCATAACAAAATCTTCAATTGGTCTTTAGAGTAGCCTAGATGTCTGAATCTTATTCATTTACTATACACGTATCTCTGTTTTTAGTCAATGCAATCAAAGCAGTTTACAATTTTTAACATAAAAGTAAACAGCCTTATAAATAATATAAAAAAGGAAAACAAAGTGATAGGAAAAAAATAAAGTTTTTGTTCTAAACATAAAATTGTAATTGAAGTAGAGTCATAATGGCAAATATACATGGTTAAAAGGTTATTTTGTCAGCAATGCCACAAAACTTGTATTAATAGCATATTCTTAATATATGAAGTTTCATTTCAAGAATATTACGTTATCATCCAATCTATTTCTACCCGAATCACTTTACAAATGGATACTTTCCATCTCATCAGAGATATGTTTGCCTGACATTTTCAAAAGATTAATTCTTCAATACTGCCAAATTTAATCCAGTTTTTAAAAATAATATTTAAGAAAAAGTAATTTAAATTATGTGCATTATTTATTTATATTTTATTTTTATAAACACATTTATAGTACTTATAAATTAATCCAGGCAAGCTGCATTATAGTGCCCTCTAGTGAGGAATTATTTTGCCTGTTAAATGTTAAATGTTGTAAAAACCAAATTATGAAACATATATGAAAGTTCAAATTTAGTACAAAATGAACTCAAAGTTTAATCTGTCTTCTTTTGACAAAATGCTTATTCAGCCTGTTTTACAAACTTGTAACCCAATTAAAATCCAGCAACCCTGACACCACTTATCTGGACCTGATATCATTTATCTTAGAATATTACTACTGTTTCCTTTATTACTTGAAACTTTGTGGAACCTAATGCAAAACTATAATTAAAACAGATTTATTTACAGAACAAATCACTACAATATTACTGGCATTTGGAAGAGTCAGTAGAAGACTATACAGGATATGTTTAATTCTTTATAAATACAGATTATAATGCTGTATAATCGTTAAGCCACTAAAATTTTAAAAAATGAAATTTCAATCTGAAAAATGCAGCACATGATTAATGCAGCCCAAGACTATAAAGCAAAAGTCCATTTGAAATATCATCATGGGAATTTATTTATTATTTATTTATACAATTTATTATTGGCCTCCCATATTACCATAGGGAAACTCCGGGCAGCTTACAGTTACATTTAAGTTAAAACATAAAAAGTTAACATCAAATGACAAAAAAAGCATATGTTCCTGAAGATTTTCCAGGAAGGCAGAACTTTATAAGATTCTTATTCTGTGCAACAAATCATGAGTTCTACATGTCCACAGGGATAAGATCAGTGCAACATAGTAATAAGAATGTAGTTCTTTGTGAAATAAAACAACTTGGAGATAAAATTATTAGAATCTGGGTTTTTTTAGAAGAGGTGGAGAAGAGGATTTTTTTGGATAGATCTTTCCTTCAATGAAGTAGACAGGTAAGCACCTATTGATTTTAACAAACAGAGAGGGGAATAACCAGAACTTTGACCTGATTTGCTACCTGAAATAAGTTTTTGATTCCCAGGTACTTCTTTTTAATTACACATCTTTTGCATTTGCCTACAGTAAATGGCTTTTGGGTTCTAAAAAAAACAGCAAAGTAAACAAGACTGACATTTTGCTCTCCTCCACATTAGACTGTCTGCAGAAAGCATTTCACTAATTACAGATACCAATAACATCTAATATATTCTGTACAGAAAGCTATAGGTATTTATAAAACTAAATGCATATAAATGTTATTTATATGCATTTATTCATAATTAAGCAGAACAAATGTGCTATATAAAACAGTCTATCAAGAGAGGGTGAACAGAAACCTGATTAGAGAAGAAACAGATTCTATATATAATATATGCTGGAATATTTCCTAAGCACTCCAGAGATCTTTTTCGTTTAAATGTTTCCCCAAAAAATTACTTGTTGGGAGAATACAACTTCCCCTCTCCCCTTGGACATGGATTTTTGTCTCCATTAAAATGAATCTGCATTTCTGGGAGCAACCTTTATGTGTTGGACTCCTCATATCTAAATATTGATAGCAAAGAGATACTCATTAAAATATTAGACTAGAGGCAAAGTGACACAAGTTCTATTCCATTCTCCACCAGAGCAATTAACTTAGTGTCTTTTGGCCAGTCATTCTCTCTCAATCCAATTCACCTCACAGGATTGTTGTAAGGAAAAATAGGAAGGAGTCTTATATTATGTGAGCTTCCAAGTGAAAGGTAGGATGTAAATAAAAGACAACTCTTTTATTTTCATATATGGTGTCCTATCTCATTCAACAGAAACTGTCTAGTTTCTAGATGTCAAAGTCAATGATTTCATCATATACATAACTTAATCCAATCCATGTTATTTGCATATGTATGGATGAAATCTAATATGAATTTAGCGGATATAAAGTGCACTGATAAATTGTACTTTTAAATAAATGAAAGATAGTGTTTCCAAGTGACTATAGATCAGACTTTATTTTACTTTTCATATTATACATGCCCTACATTTGTCTATTTCATTTTCTGGCTCCTTTTTAAACTATATTTTAGTTGTAAATACATAAATATTTTAAAAAAATGTTCCTATAAATGAAATTTAAAATTTCATAATATATAAATTTAATTTTAAATAAAACAAACAACAGTACTTTTTAGTAAACATATATGCAAAGAAAATAAGTCAGTTTCAGAACAAGTGGTCAGGCAGAAATATAATTTTTAACAGTATCACAGATTACTACTGAACACACTGGAACTTTCAACACTATAATCGGTACTGTGATGAAATTTCAACAAAACTTCAATTTATGAAGCCAGAAATTTCAGAAAGTAGGCATAACTGTAACTATGTAGCTCCTCTGTGTGACAGAAATATTCACTGAGGAAAAAAATGTACATGTTAGAAAGAAGAGGAGACCTCTAGCCAATTCATCACAAATGTAAATCTATTAACCTTCCCACCCACCCACCCCCAGTTTTGTTTTTCAGTACTACTCGTTTGATCATAAGCAATCTTACTAGCTGCACTGGTGGAACGTTAGCATGCCAAACAGAATTAGAATAATTTAAAAGGAAGATAATGAAAAGAGTAATTATAATTAAACAACCCAGTTTTCAGTATGATGATTACCAAAACATTTTTGAAGGGTAAATGTTTGCCTAAGAACCAACAAGCACAAATTTAGTATGCATCTGTGCATATGTGCAAAGGGTGCTGCAAATTGCTCTACAAACATGAATTATTGCAATCAACATCTTGTTTTCTTGTTTTAAATGCAAAAGACTGCAAAATTAACACTACTAGTAACTCATGCTATTAACATCCTACGGATGAAGTTTGATCTGATAAAACTTACTTGCCAGATGGATTGATAATAGAAAGGAAAAGCAAAAAAGAACAAGAAAACAGTGATTAGACTGAAAAAGTTAATATAAAATTATATCTGAATTTTTGAGAGAAAACATTTAGATCTTTGAAAAGGTCCATATGATTAAAATAACAAATTGTAATTTTCTTGAATATGTGAACAAGAAAATATACTATTCTATTTTTCAAAGATTAAATCATTATACGGTATTCTACAAGGCAGTATTATATATGGAGTCTTATTATGATTTTATTCTTACAGAATCCCTGAGAGGTAGCATAAACTGAGGAACAATGAGTGGCCAAAATCACAAGTTCCATGGTTAAACCTTCTCTACTTGTTTCAAATCAATATCCTATCCAGGTAAGATTCTAGAGACCGTAATTAATTTTAGAGAGCTTTTTCTAAAAATGGGAGAGCATATTCCCTCCCTCCCTCCCTCCCTCCCATCCATCCATCCATCCAATACACTGAAAATACTACAGAATTTAATCCAATGATTAGGTTACAAAGAAACAAAAGTAGAACGAGTGAACTTTTCTTTCTCAAACAGCAAATAACCTCACATTTTATTACTTTTGGAAATCCTTTTATTTTCAAGTGAGATTTGTTATGCACATGCTGTTGTTTTTCAATGATACTCACTTACAAATAGCTATATAGCTTTTGACTCTGTGTTAGCGCAAATAAAACAGAACTCTCTCTGTTGAGTAGAGAAAGTTTAAGGAATTTTTATGTATAACCATTTCAAAAGAGATACAAGGCTAAACAATATGTGAGGAAATTGTTGCAACAGAGGATATATACTATATGTTTTATGAGGGAAAATTACATCATTCAAAGATGATTAAATTAAACATTTGCACGTGACTGTAATAAACAATAATTTGTTGTTAATAAAATTGATAATTTGGGCATAAATGTTCCATCAATTTAGAATCTCATTAGCTTCTTTCTATTTAATACATACAGAACAAAGAATCTTACCATTGTCCTGCCTTAAAAGTAAATTCCTTATCTGTCACTGTCAAACGAAGTCTTTTAACTGTTTCAGATTCATTACTGATGCCACACACTTTTGCTTTAGAAATAATCTAAAAAGAAAAAAAAACATCATCATAACTACCAACATTTCAAGAAATAAACACAAAACTCAGCACAAAAAATAATTGTTTCTGGATCCTTCCAAGCATGAAACTCCAATCATTAAATGGGGTAACTATGAGTTCTACTGGTTTCCTACACTGCTACTATTATTAGCTGCACTATTTCACATTTATACAAATTTTAAGTTCTAATCTCATTACAAATAATGAAGCTGAATCTTTAACAAGATTAAGAATTCAAAAATAAGCAAAGACTAGGCTCGTTCATTTGTTCATTCATTCAGTTTTTATGAACACCCCCTCATATATGACCATGGGCAACTTACAAAAGATTAAAACCACACCCTCCTCACCTTTGGCTTTAGCATTTTTAGTTCAGATTCATCTATAAATTTCAAGACCCTTACATTAGCCATTCCTTTATAGCAAAATTTTAAAATGTGTGATACATATAAAGCAAGTTCAAATTTTTGTCTTTGTAAAGAAATACAACATGGACAGCCTAATACGTCTATTTATTTATTAATCCTAAAAAAAGAGGTGGAAAATTCTGATCCAAAGTCTTCTTGCCCCATTTCTGGCGTGCCTTTTTAGCTCTCAGATTAAAAACACAAAGTTTAAAAATGCAGCTCTTGCTCAAAAAAGCTGCTTCTCTCCTCTATTCTCAGGAAGGAAAACAATAAAATCATGATTGAATAAAAAGCATAACTCTAACTAACCACAGACAAAACAGTAAAGCAAAATAATTTTCTATTTTTATTAGATACTTACTATATACTACTATATATACCCATCTTCTTCCCCCTCTCAATTTTTCTCATAGCAGTGTTACAAAACAGATTGCATGACTCAAGACCAGTTTCATGGCTGGGTGGGACTTGAACACAAATCATTTGGAACATAGCCAACAATAGCTTTCATATAACTTCTAATCAGTCCAGTGATGGCATTTTGTTCTCTTGCTTTCTGCTGTGTTTCCTCTGACTTTCATGGTATGGCAATCAACTCATAGAATAAATTTGGAATTGTTTGTTAAACTACAGAACGTACTGTACTATTAGTTATAAACCTAAAGTTCTTAAGATGAGTTACGCAAGTTCAAGTGTACAGAAAATGTTAAAATGATAAACTACATCAAATTACATTTATGAGTATTTCATTTTCTAGCTAGAAGAACTGGAGTCCAACAAATGAAATTTGGCTAGCTATGACTTAATTTAAAACATATGGCAGGAAATGAATTTCTGAATAAAAATAGTTGAGCATTTCTACTGTCTTGTAAAACAGAAGGATACTTGCCAAATAAATGGTACCATACTTTTTCTTATTTTAATAGACTTATTTCTTTTAAGAAACAGTTATATTTCCTAATTAGATCTGCTCACATGATGTCCTATAATGTTCTCCTTAACACAGAAACCCCAGAGTAAGTCTAACTTTAATATGTCACATTAGCTTATAACTGACTTCTGAACTGGATCTTGCACACAATGTTATAAAAATGATGCCCTTTTGGTTTTGTAAATAATCCCCATAATGTTTGTTTGATTTATATGGCTGCCTATTTTCCCAAAATGACTCAATGTCAAAAAATATTTTTGTTCCCACAGTTTCCAAGAATTGGAAATGTACAGCCCAATGCAGCTCAGTTATTTCCATTAATTTATTTTGTTCTTGGTAGCAGCTAAACAAATGAGAAAAGTGCTTTGCTTATTGTTATGTACAAAGTGAGAACTATCTCTAGATACTAACCTGACAATGTCAGGAGTGTCATATGCTTTAAGAGAAATCGTCAAGAGTTGCCACTCTAGATATAACCCTTAATAAATCACAGCTATCCATGTACTTCTTTACTCCCATTGACAGGAGAAGCCAAGTAGAACAAACTGAGTATCAGAATAATGGCACTCACCAAAGATATAGATGGCCCTAACCTTGCCAGTACTTCAGAAGAAATCAAGTTATTAGATCTGGGGCCCTAGCATGGATGTAAAGAGAGAATGTCCTTGAATGACCATTGTCCATGCTTTACTGTATACTTTATGTTTCCCATTCAGATTATTGGTAGTTAGATGGTGGCCTAATAAATTTGATAAATAAATAAAAAAGTTAAACAATCAGTACAGTTATATCCTGTATCATCTGGAAATAACAATGTTCAGTTCCTTCTTTATTTTAGCCACATTTTTTTATTTCAATTGCAATTATTTTGTAAGCCGGCTCACAACAACCTATAAAACATGGTTTATTCTTCCCTCAGGGGCCAGACCAAATACCTTAAACCTCACCTTCCCCCTATTCCAATGCTTGGAAGAATAGCCAGGTCTTCACAGACCTTCAAAAGACTGAAAGGGTAGGGACATCTCTGATGACTGGGATGACTATGAAGGGGACACAATCTAAGATCCTATGAAATAGCAACATTTAATGGAAGGGACCTGGATTGCACCCACCTTGTCTAATCTAAAAGGATATGCAAATGTGCACAAACAAATGTGACCACAATAACATGGGCTTGTGCTATGTGGGCTTTAAAGGTGATTAGCAGCACCCTGTATTACATCTAGAAAGCAACTGGAAACCAGTGCAACCAGAGATATTACTTGGGTAAATTGTGGAACCCCTCAAAACTGTGCATGCTACTGCATTCTACATCATTTGCAGCTTCCAGGCGGTCTTTAAGAGCAGCTCCACGTACAGCACATTGCAGTAATCCAAAAGAGAGGTAACTAAGATATGGATTAAGAGGTAACTAAGATGTGGAGTAAATTGCAAAGGATTATAGATGGAAATAAATGGTTGTAAAGAAGAGTCAAATTATTATCAAATTTATCCAATACTCTCACCATATATAGCACATTTCATGATCATATGCAATACCAACCTCATGTCGAAAGTCTTTTGCTGTTCTCTCCAGATGATCTGATTTTCTTCTAGATTTCATTTTGCTATAAATAAGGCAAACTGAGATGTATCATGACTCAACATAATTTTACAGCTTGAACTGGTCACTGAACACCCTTTTAAGTAGTAACTTCAGATTCATTGATCTCTACCATCATATAAGAATGATGTCCCACCTTTGAACTGACAAAAATGTATGTAATTGCCTACTGTTACTGTTTTCAACAGCAATCTGATCACATTATTTGGAGAGTTTTAAAAAAGCATATAGTCATGACAATACTATTAGTGCCCAGTATGTAATACTTAGAAGTATACTGCTTCTGAACAAGAAAGGTTTGTTGCATTATTAAGGTTTGAAGACCATCCATTACATTTTCTAAATCTTTAATAAAAATCCTATTGACCCAGTTTATATTCATGAAGCAAAATGGGTTGTTAAAAGAGAAAATATGTATTCTTGAATCAAGCTTAGGTACTTTTTAATAATTTTATTATCAAAAGCCTAATATTAGTCCTTGTTCAGCTAATTACTGATTTTTTTGTTTTTTTAAGTAGTCTTTGCTTTGTACTGTTGCACCAATTACAAGATGGATCATAACAACAAAGTAGAAAAGAATCAAGAAAACTCAAACATCATACATACCTATATCAGTCTAATCTCTATTCAAATATCTCACCATCTCATTTCATTGCATATACAAATAATTGTTTGGTCAAGTTAAGACTACAATTGGGACTAGAATTTTTGTTGTTAATTATTACAGTTGTAAGTTGAATTGTATTCTATTTCACAATTTTTACAGTGGTCTTAAATAAATTATGAGATCATTAAACAAATCGGCCAAATAAAGTTGCAAATTGCAAACATGCTGTAACCAGTCATAAATGGGAGCTGATCATCAAGCATCCCAATTGCGATCAAGTGTCCACAGGGATGATGCAAAGGTTATTAAGTGTAAGTCCAAGTCATGTTACTTTTTCTGAGACCATTGTTAACCTTGAACCATCATTATTCAAATGGTTGTAAGTAAAGGACTACTTGTAACTTCTTTTGTTAAGCAGCAAATCTGTTACTAATCATATTTATTATATGATGCCATGTTTTAACCTCAAAAATTAATTTATTATGTCTGCTCGTAATAATTTCAGAACCTTCATCTCCCATTTAATCATGCTTTAAATGCTGAAAAAACTGTTCTAAACTGTTCAATAAAAACTCCTTCACTCCAAACAAGATAAGCTTATGACAGGGCTAAAGAAATAACAAGTGGTGAGCAAATACTATAATACTGTCTAGTTACATGGATTAAAGAAAACCCACAATTTACTTGATTATTTAAATATACATGGTTAATCACTGAGATTTGTATGATTCTGAACAAGACCAATAAATGTTCTGATGGAAGAAAAATCACTTACTTTTAGAAGATGTACCTAATCCACACAATCTTCATAAGCAGACTTTCTAAATAAACATGATTATCCTCAGGAATATCTTTTGATTTCTAAAAATTTATCATGTGCATTTTAAAATATAATAGTTCTACCAGTTTTGGCTGATACATAAACTATAGCCATTACTGAATAGAGGAAAGCTTAGATACTACTACTAGATTACAACTTAAATGAGATGGCTGTGAAGATGATGCATAAACTTGAGTTAATTCAGAATTCTAACAATTTAATTGCATAAAGGAACTATCACTCACTTTGAATGCTCAGATCCAAAATATACAAAACAGTTCCCCCCCATCCCTATCTTCTCTTCAAACAAGAAGGTACATCAGGATATGACCAATTCATTTTGCAACATCTTTCCTATAAAAGTCTGAATGGCACCAAGCAATTTTTCCCCCAGAATCAGTTCAAGTCACTTTTGTTTTGCAAAACAGTTAAACTGGTTTATTGCCTTTACCTGCTATTTAAGAACTTGGTCTCCTTGCAATATATGGAGGAAGATGGGAATATAGTTCCATTGCAGTGTTTTTATAATACAATGTCCTATTATTTGTTTTATAATTTGTTTTAATAAATTTGAAAAAATCAATTAATTTAAAATTATAGTTCTAAAATCAGCCTGTTGATCCAAATTTCATTATACTATATTCTAGAGCACAAGTTTCAAACTCGCCGCATCACATTGCTGTCATTTGATGTTTCGTGACTGTTTTCCCATTTGTGGAGCTGGGGTGGGCATGGCCTGCATGTGTGACGCATCCAGTCCACGGGTTGCCAGTTTGACATTCGTTCTAGAAGATGACAGTTCTTTCTTTACAACTAATCTTTATTCAATTTTTAAAGGAAAGTAATACCAGTGTTATGTTAATGTTTTCATTTTCACAGTAATACTTAATATACGATAGCTTACCCATTTATTGTGCAGTATCTTACAGCTGTCAGTCTTAGACACAAGTATGAAGAATAGCAGGGAAGAATTCTACTGGCACTTTTCATTAATATAGGCAAACCAAAAGCTGTTGTATATATCATAATGTTCTTTTATGTTAAATATTCCTGTAAAGGCAATTTAAAATAATACTTGCATCTGTTTTTCAATAAACAATGTCAAACAGCCCAGTTGTAGACAAGCACACAAAGTATTACAAGAAGTATTTCTTTGGCACTAAGCTTCACAGAAAATAAATGAACTTCTGGACTGCTGCTGACATCACAGAAATCTATATGAACCACTATTCACATCATAAAGAGCATGTCCCTCTCAATCTGTGGCTGTTTCAAAGATACCCAAGCAGGAAACAATGTTCATGTCATACATGGCATCCTCCAATTTGTTGACTACTAAGCATTTGTTTGGGGAGAAAGCCAATATCAAAGATTGGACCCCAAAAAAACTCAAGAACAGGGAGGATGTAGGTCAGTTAGTAATAGTATTTGTTAGTCCTGAACACAATCATATCCCAATGAACGCTTACCAATTGTGCTAAAACAACCTAGCTCATGAAACTAAAGATTTAAATTTCAATTGAGCTTTTGTTAAGAACCTACATTAATGCAATTCCATATGTATTTACTGAAAAATCCCATGCTGTTAATGTCAAAACCTTGTTTTGGTACATTTGATATTGTCTATTTTATTTCTAAATCTCATAAACTTAAAATGAACAGTGTAAGGCAAGTTACATGATAACTTGGAGGAGTCTTTAAGATATTTAAAGTAATTGCCACAAAATATGGATTTCATCCATAATTCCTATAAGTCATTCCTGACAATTTTTATGTGAAAGAAAGTATGAGTAACAACACTTGTTACGGAATCATTTTTTTTCCTATTGTCTATGAAAAATAATTTAGTTTCTCTGCTTCCAACTTTTGAAGCAATTCTGCTTGATCCCATCATTACTCTCAGATTCTTTTCTGAAACTGAATATGTATCAAATTCTTGTTCTGAGATTTCCTTCCATATCTGTGGTAAAGTGGATTAAGATAGCTGAAGATTTAATTGTAAGCTTATTTATTTTTATTTATTTATATCCCATCTTTATTATTTTTTACAAATAATTTAAAGCCATAACATATTCAACAAACTTTCCTACTCCTACTTTCCCCACAACAAACCTGTGAGGTGGGTTGGGTTCAGTATGTGTGGCTGGCCCAAGGTCACCCAGGTGGCTTTCATGGCTAAGACTGGATTTAAACTCATGGTCTTCTGCTTTCTAGCCTAGTGCCTTAACAACTACAGTAAACTGGCTTTTTTAAAGTTCCCCAAAGCTCTTAATATTTTGCTAACATTTCAATTTATTACATTGTTATAGCAATCATTTTAACACTCTGCTTAATATAGCACTACATAAGAACTGTAATGTACTATACAAATAAAAATTTGTTTCATTTTCTTGCACATTCTGTAACATTAACTATTTGTAATGAACAAGTGACATCTGCTGGCACATAAAATCTCTTGTACTAAAACATTTCAAACATCCACTTTTAGAAAGAGCAATTAAAACTTTCCCAATGTTTATTCTTATGACATCAAATAATATTGGAACAACAGTATTTGGGCTTCTGTGTGACCTTAAAATGATACATCTGTCTGAATTCTCATTATAAATTAAGTTATAGAACATTCCCTTCTTCCCGGTTGTTTTCTTGAACTCCCAATTTATTCAACAGCTTTGGCATTTCCTGATGATCTCTCATGTAATAATCAGGAACTTAGTTTTTATAAACTAATTATGTGCTGCTGCAACTGCTCCTATTACAAAGGGCTAATAAAGTGATATTTTGTTATACATAGAATAACTTTATGCTTTCCTCTCTAACAACTACCACTAACTTAAAAAATCCTGTTTTGGTGTAACAATTCTTAGATTACACAATGTACTAAGCAAAAATGGAATTTGCTTGCTTGCGACTTAGTATGTTCTGCAGGCTCAGCCTTTGTGATTGGTAAATGATGGTTAATGATTTATGATATTGCTGGAACCCCAGTCTATGGGGGTTTTGTTAACCATAATTAGGCAAAATATGATTTAGGATGCTGTATAGTCATTGCTTTAAGTCTCCACCATTCTTGTTAATTATGACTGACAAAAATTGAATTCTGAACTATTTTGAAGACACCAGGCTGCCTAATCATCTTCTGAATATATTCACTAACAAGTGGGAATTAGTGTAATCATTTCTGAACATCAGTGGTCATTTCTTCATCCTACATTAGATAAACAGGAGCAAATGGTAATGGTGCTACAAATCTAACATAATGGTAACATTTTTTCCAGTTACATTTGGTTTATACACAATTTCCTTATTGCTAGTTTTAAAAGACTTCCTCTAGCATTGGCAATTCTATTTTAAGAATGATTGCATCTGCCGTCTAATACACACAGAAAGGTCATCTCAAATTGTCAGCAGGCCCGAAGAGCAGGAACAGATACGGGAAGCCTCTGGCCTATCCATCCGTTCGACTCACCTCACAGGGCGAAACGTGCCCAACAGGGTATTCATTTCACAAGCAGATTTTACTTAATGGGATCCAGCTTTTCAGTTTTTGACCGTGAACTCTTAATTCTTCATAATGGATTAAGCATTATTTTAGACAGATCTCCCTTTTCTCTTCAGCACCGGGGGCTTTGACAGATGGTATTTATTTCTCCAGCACTTCCTTTGAACGTCGCTTCTTCCAGCTAAGTGTCCAGCCTAACTACTTCACATAGAAGCCAGCAATAACACCCGATCGTCTTCCTCAAAGTGGTATAAGGAAATAACCGGCATCCGGAATTCAGCGGAAACGGTCCCTAAAAGAGGTGGCACCGTTCCAGCTATGATTTGGGCACTTCCGCCTTGAATGATTCGTGCTTTTGCCGATCTATGATTCCCCACTCCTTTTTTTTCTTAATGAAACTCAGTTCGTGCTTTTTATGCCTAACTCTTAAGACAAGCGAATAAATAGCCAGCACGGCAATTTCTACAGAGGAGACAAAGTCAGAGCGATATTACTGTGAGCTCAATAGAAATGATCGTGGGGCGGGAGGAAGTCCGTCTGACATGGAGGTGAAAAACAATTGCTTTTAATTTCAAGTAAAGGGACGAAACGCCTATCACTCTACAGCAGTGATTCTTAACCTCGGCAACTTTAAGTTGTATGTACTTCAACTCCCAGAATTGTTGGCTAAGAAATTCTGAAAATTTAGGTCCACAACATCGTAAAGTTGCCGACGATGAGGAAAACTTCTCTATGGCTTCCAGTTCTATAATTTAAGGGTTGAATTATTATAGGAATCCTTTGTTATTATGTAAGCAAGAATTCTGGTTTGCTGCTCGCCGCCGCCCCGCCCCTCTCCCCCTCCCCAGCAAAAAAGTGATCCGCCCTCTTCAACCAAGGGTCTCATTGGTCTTTTTTTTTTTTGATGGGATGACACCACCCTTAGAACCCATAAGCAACGGATGCAGGGTCTTTTTCTTTGCATCGTTTCAAAGCTCTATAGTATTTGTCTTTAGCACGAGTTCTACCTCGCTCGTTCTTATTGGATGTCATGCGAGGAGAGATGTTGTCAAGTCTCATTATCTTGAATGCTGATTGGCTAGAAATCATTCGTGGTTTCAATCCGGAACAAATGTGGTGGTGAAAGTTTAGACTGCTTTATTTTAGTGCCGTTGCCGGTTTTCCGGGACACGCGGCGCTGGCTACGTTTGACGGAGGGAGGCAGAGAATCGCCCTGCGACATGTCCGTTTTCCACGACGAAGTGGAGATAGAGGACTTCGAGTACGATGAGGATACGGAGACCTACAGCTATCCGTGCCCCTGTGGAGACCGCTTTCTTATTACGCGGGTAAGAGGATGAGTGAGCCAGTCATTTCTATATAGAAGAGACATTGCTCTGTGACATACATTTTTATATGAGCGTCTCTCATCTCGGAGCAAACTCAAAATACAGATTAGCCTTGACTGTTCGTCATATGGGAAAGTAGAACTGCGAATACAGGCGGCCATCAAGCCTGCTGCCTTTCCGTCTTCCTCAAGCTAGATTGAAACAGTGATTTTAAAATTGGCAACTTAAGATGGGTGGATTTCAACTCCCCAAATAGCCAGCACGGCAAGTTTGATTAAAAACTGCTTTAGCGCTTTCCAGACATGTTTGGGCTCCAAGCACTTCGCCTTAGGATTGGAGAGGTTGTAGCCAATACATATAGAAAGTACCAAGTTGGGGAGGGACTGATACGTCTCTTGTGTTCAGTCAGAGTGGTTATAAAATATAATTAATAATTTAGTGCAGCTGAGAGAGATGTTCAAACATAGCCAATGGTAACTTGGTGCTCTGATAATAGGGCAAGGCAGACAGGTATAATCTTATTAAATTTAAAAGAAAAAAGATTGATAAGCCTGAGAAGCTTTGGATGGATAGAAGCATTTTAATGCAGTGCCATCCTAACTTGAGTTTAAAAGTCAGAACCTGTAGTTTAATCTTAGCACAAACTTAAATAAATTAAAACAAAGTTACATAATGTAGACTTTATCTTCCTGAGGAAAGAATAGACATTCTTTAGCCTTGAGGGAACTATTGTGGGTATTTAATGTTCTTCTCTGAGTAGAAAGATTTCTTCAGAATATCACAACATGGTTGAGTCCATCCAAGGAAATGTCCACATTTACCCAAGCTGTGCATTTCAACACGATGATTTTGGGAAATAATTTGTACGGATATGGTTGAACAGATAAAAATTCATTTCTGATCATAGCAAATTGAGATCTATTATTAGTTCCCTTCTGATAAACATATGCCCTAAGCTAAAATTAGAAAAGTGTCTAAATAGCTGAACTGCTGAGATCACACAGGGTAGAGTTTGAAAAAAATAAACATTTAATTGATTTTTAAAAATAAAATTTAAGTCAGTCCTATATAAATGTGTTATGATAGCTTTTATTGGACATGATCATGATAAGTATGACCAGAAAGAAACATTTTTAGAGAAGATGATAAATCACTCAAACAAAATATTCTGAAGATGTCCTTGGACATCTTCAGAGCAGTGCAACATTTGTCAATAAGTGAATTATTGAGCTGAGTTCATGTTAGGAGAAATTTTAGTGGAATTTTGTTTTGGAGTTCTCTTATTTTGGAGTTCTTTTTTCTTGAGAAATCCAAAACAAAATTCAAATTGATATTATTATATATAATAAATTAACATTTCTTTTTTACTCTTTCTTAGGTGCAAGTTGTAATATTGTACAGATTCATAGAAGACATCTTTATCAAAATACTTAGCAATACTTAGCATTAACATTGCATTTGGGCAGAAAAATTAGCATATGGACACTTGGCTTTGGATGTACCCTGATATTTTATCTATTCAAACTTTAACAGGAAGAATTCAGTGAATTGAGACCCCATACAGTTGAGAGAAGTGTTGTGTTGTTTCAGAAGTATCTAGCAAACAGGACTTGGATTTTGCCCTTTTCTTTTTAACATTAAATGGTATGCTTATTAAGGGGTCAAATTCTTTTGTATTATTGCAGGAAGATCTGGAAAATGGGGAAGATGTGGCGACCTGTCCAAGTTGTTCACTTATAGTCAAAGTGATCTACGACAAGGTGAGGAATGAGCAGGGGTGGAAGTTGTACTTGTTTTAGACTGTTTTCACAGGTGGTGACATTTTATTTATTCAAAGTCAGTAACCAGCAAAGATAATCCAGAGTCATTGGGAGTTAGCTGGAATATAAATTTATTTATGTATTATATAGCCACAACATTTAAAAAATATATAATAACTGTCCAAATACCATTTTTACTGATCTCTTGTTTATGTGGTTGATACATGTTGGGAAACTCAGTCTTGATTAGCAAAAATTATATGTATTGTGCCTGTTTTGCAGTTCATTTAGTTTTGTGAATTATTTGAAATCCACAGACTGTTTCTTGAACATCTAATATTAACTAATTTGAATAAATGATAGTTATAGTCAAAATGGAATAACAAAGAGCAGAGGTCACTGGTCAGAGATCAACTTTAAAAATGAGCACTTCATTAAATAAATGCTGTGAGGTCAGAATATAATAGATTATAGTGTCCCCCAATATGTGAGTTCTCCTTAATCACCTTTCACTAACTATTTAAAATTTCTTAACAACCGGTTCTGTGGGCATGGCCTAATTTGTGGGCGTTGCTTGGTAGTCATGTGATTGGATGGGCATGGATTGCTGGCTGAGCATGGCTTGGTGGTCACATGACCGGATGGGCATGGTTTGGTGGTCATGGGACCAGGTGGGCATGGCCATGTGACTGGCAAACCAAATGTAAGTGGTCCTCGCTTAATGGCCGGTTGCTTAGTGTTCTAATTTATGACTGACCTCCCCAGAGCTACTTGACCTGTTTTTGGAGTTTTGACAGACACACACATGCGTGCGCACACACACCCACACCCACACCCTTCTAACCCTGCTGGAACAGGGGGTTGGACTAGATATCTTATTCACTTTCTACTCCCTCCCTCCCTTTCTTTCTTTTTTTCTTTTTTCTTTCTTTCTTTCTGTCCCTTCCATCCACTTCTTTCTTTGTCTATCCTTTTTCTTCCTTTTTCTTTCCCTTTTCTCTTTCTTTTATTTCTAGCCTCTTCCTTCTCTCTCTCTCTCTCTCTTTCTCTCTCTCCCTCCCTCCATATCCCATTCACTTTCTCCTCCCTCCCTCTTTCTTTCTTTCTGTCTCCCTCTTTCCCTCTCTTTCTATCTGTCCCTTCCTTCTATCCCTCCTCTTTCTTTGTCTATCCCGTTTCTTCTTTCTCTCTCCCTTTTTCTTTCTTTACTTTCTTGTCTGTTTCTTCTCTCTTTCTCTCTTTCCCTTTCTCTCTCTTTCTCTCTTCCCCCTCTCTCTTTCTCTCTTTCTCTCGTTCCATCTCTTTCTTTTTCTTTCCCTCTCTATATCTCTTTCTCTTCTCTCTCTTTCTCTTTCTCACATTCCCTCTCTCTCTTTCCCTCTTTCTCTTTTCCTCTCTCTCTATCCCTTCCCTAACCTATCTACCTATTTTCTGCCCAGGCAGACATGGCCTAATCTGTCAAAGGCCTGGGCTAATCCTGCATCCCCCTGTTTCCCCTTTCAGAGGCCCTGGCCCTTAATCTCCCATTTCCTCCCCCACGACTGCCTCTTTCGTAGTCCCATAGCCGTGAATTTACCTTCCTCCCGCGGCTGGCTGCCAGGAAAGGCAAGCCAGGTCTGAGCCATTGTTGTCACTGGGCTCCCCACCAGTCCATGTCGCCCTTGTCACGAATGCCTGCAGCTGTCATGTGTTTTTTTCGGTGCAGTTGGATTGCAGCTGCACCAAAAAAAAACACGCAGCGTCTGGAGGATTTTTGGAGTGAAAATTACCAACCTCTGGCTTTGCTCTGCTTCTCCAACACGCTGCTGTGGCTGCATTCTAGGCGCCAGCCATGCAGGTCCACCCCAGTGAGCCCGCTGCACCGGAGGGACTTGCCCAAGCAAGTCTGAGTGGAGTGCTGCAGCAGTAAATGGGGTGAGCCTGCATGGCCGATGCTTAGAACACGGTGGCGGTGGTGCATTGGAGAAGCACAGCAAAGCCTGAGGTCAGTAATTTTTGCTCCAAAAAATCTCCAGATGCCATGTGTATTTTTCGGTTTGGCTGGACTCCAGCCGCACCAAAAAACACACACAGCGTCTGGATGCTTTTTGGAGCAAAAATTACCAACCTCCGGCTTTGCTTGCTCCACTTCTCCAATGTGCCACTATGGCGATCAG